AATGGGTTTAAAAGTTGATTGGCGTCGTTCATTTATTACAACTGATGGAAAATAAGAAATCCAATGTTTTGGATCAGCAAATTTACGAATTTCTTCATCATCATCCATTCCAATACTACGCATGATTTGCCATTGATATTTATCACCAGTACTCTTTGCTGCTGCTTTACTCTATCCAAAAATAAGTCATTTTATTCTTCAGATATTATCAAAAAATAACAAAACTTACTTTCTTGCTCTTAAATTTACTATCAACTTTACTACTTTCACTTTCTTTTGATTTTGCTAATTTTTCTTTTTCTCTTTCAACATCTTCACTTGTTGTCTCAGGAAATTTGGGTGGAAAACCAAAATCTTCCATTTCACGTTTTAGTTTTTCAGCAGAAGCCTTTTATAATATACAAGATTAATCAAAAATATTCTTATTTATAAATACTTACTTGAATAGGCATACCAGTACAATGAAATCCAAATGGGAATAAACAATGTTTACCACGTAAACGTTGATAACCAACAGAAAACTAAAAGAAATAAAGAAAATAAGTATGAAACATCAATATTCAATGTCAAACCTCGCATCGAGATAATGAAAATGTATGACCTAAATGAAGACGACCATTCATATATGGATATGGAAATGTTGCCAAAAATGTATTTGAACTACAATAAGAATTCATCACATATATATAATAAAAACCAATAAATAAAATCTTACTTATCAGTAGAATGACTTGGTGCATCAGCTTCAAATATTTTCATATCGGCCCATAATTTTTGCATGTGTTTTTCTATTTCACGCATCGTATCCAGTTTAACTGTTGACCGTTTTTCACCGGCTACTGCTGCAGTTGCAGCTGCAGTTGTCTTTGCTGTTGCCATATTTTCAAACTAAATTTGATTTTATGATCTACAACATATATATATACAGTAATTATTACATCATTTTACATAAGACAAATTCCTGAAAAAGAAAGTTATTCTAGAAATAAATATAAATTTGCTGATGAAATCATGGAATATGAGAAAAAACGAAGATGACGAAGGCAGACTGGCAAGCAATAATAATTTTGAAAATCTATTGGCATGAAAGTACAATAGAGGTCGTCTCTATACAGTACAATTTTATCATATCATTGTGTGTTAGAGAAATGATTTATTCTTTAATTGATATCATAATAAAAATTGTTTTTGTATAAAACTTCACTATAGTAATGGATGGAGCAAACTTATGACTATAATTTACATTTCACTTTTCAGTCATTTAATACATCCTATTAAAAAATACCACAAGATAGAACATGAGAAGTTCTACTAAAGTTATACTCAACTGTTTACCTTATAACTGTACTCTTTGTTTTGTAAATGTATAGAATTAAATACACAATAATGATCAGTTATATCACCAATAATTTTTACACGAATTTGTTAACATGTAACTATAAATGAAACTAAATAAAAGAACAGTATCTATTATCTCGTAGAAATATTTATCACATTTGTTTTCGCTTATCTATAAATGAGAAAGATCTTAATCAGTGCGTGTTACATATCGATTTAATATATATATTTTGAACATAAAGTCATGGATTCAAAAAAGGAACATCTTTATGAAATAAAAAGAAAACATCTCTCGGTAGATAATGTTGTTCAACTATTATCTTTTAGATAAGATTAAATAAATGTTCTTAGTACAATAAAAGCTAGTCAATTCTCATTGAATTTCTAGAATGGTTACAGTCAAGATGAAACATTTGAATATTTTAATTATGATATTGATTAAACATATACGAAATATTCTATTCGAAGTATTTTTATATTGATTTATTCATGATCAATAGAATAAACATTAGTTCATTGTTTCAAAGTTGTATTGTCAGATTCAATCAGTTGTTAAACACAATCATACTTTCATCTTTCTCCTCGTTAACATTCGGATTTCTTTAAATCAAATATTATTTTAACTATGAAATAACACAAAGTACATTCACATAATACTCATATTTATCAGTTATTTTCAACAATGTCACATATCTCAAATTTTGAAGACGCCACTGCGTCTCTCCGCTATTCAAGCTTAGACAACAACTTGAATTTTTAAATATTTTGAACGTAAAAAGTTGAGGATGACGGTGTGTAACAATGCAGATTTTACGTTTAACATTATTAATTAGTTGAAACAAAAAAATCAATTTATTAAAACACTAAATCAGAATAAAATATTTGATCTAAGAAAAACTACAAGTTTAGCTAAAAATTCTATTTTACTTGACAATAGTTTATTTCAAGTCTAAAAAACTAAATATAAGTCATACAGTTGAGTAATGTGTCTAATTATTATCGAATTTTCTCTTCATGGATAATACAATTCGACACTCTTCAGAGGATTTCTATAAGAGCCGCCTATCATTAATATGTTTCCATCCAATAATGTAACCACGGCAGCGTCACTTCGTAAATATGTCATGCGTGCAGCGGGCGTCCAACTTCTGGATGATGGGTCATATAATTCAGCAGTATCTAACCAACCAGCATTATTTTCTCCACCAACTACTAAGACTTTGCCATCTGATAATACAGTTGCTGTATGAAGGCTTCGAGAAGTAGTCATATTAGCAACATTTGTCCATTGTCTGAATGATGGATCATATAATTCAGCAGTATTATGTGTTACAGATCCATTGTATCCACCAACCACTAAGACTTTGCCGTCTAATAAAACAGATGCTGTATGATCCGTTCGAGCACTAGACATATTGCCAACATTTGTCCATTTTCTTGATGATGGATCGTATAACTCAGCACTATTTCCGGCAGTAAAATGATTGATGCCGCCACCAAGTATTAACACTTTACCATCTGATAAGACAGATGCTGTGTGCTGTTCTCGACGAGAACTTATATTACCAGCA